GTCCTCCCCACCCCCAAAGACTTACTTTGTGACTTTGAAAATACGCAATAACCTGAGGGCTCGTAACACACTGATTCCAAAGGATGTGCCGGGTTTTATGACGGCCCAGATGACCTCAAAGATGCTCCCGATGATAACCTAGAACACAGGATCTGCTCTCGTGTCCACAGTCCTTGCAAACACACCCTAGCCTGAATCTTGCAGGAACCCAACCCAACCCCCACCCTCACATGCAAGCAGGGTGTGGGTCTCAGGCCCCTCTCATCCCTTCTCTATTTTTATTAAGAGCTGATGAGAGCAAAGAATTCCTGAGACACATCATTACCAAGTGAGTGCCCATGCAGCTACCACCCACGTGAGAAACAGGACATGTTGGCACCCTAGGAGCCTCTGGGGACCCCTTAAGACATAACCACTGTCCTGAATTTTGTAATAACTATTTCCTTGATTTAAAAAAGATAGAGGTGAAACTCACATAACAAAATTAACCATTTTAAGTGCACAATTCAGTGGTAACATTCATGTGTAATATTGTACAATCATCATCTCTATCTAGTTCCAGAACATTTCTGTCATCCCCAAAGGAGACCTTGTCCCCATGAGCAGTCGCTCTCCATGCCCCCTCCCCCAGCCCCTGGCAACCACTGATCTGCTTTCTGTCTCTATGGATTTGCCTCTTCTGGACATTTCATAGAAACGGAGTTACGCAATATGTGACCTCTGTACCCAGCTTCTTTCACTTACCATAATATTTTTGAGGTCTCTGTCTTTTTAAAGTATCTGAGTATCATCCCTAACCAATGCAGCTTAGTTCCGTCCATGTGAACTTTGATGAGCAGAACGGCACACCCCATATGGTCTGCTTTGGTCACTGCCTGCCTCTTTCTGTGCAATATTGTACAGTCCATGGGCACAGCTGTGGAGGGTGGCTTTTCGTTGCTGCGGAGAATTCCACTGCATGGCCACGCCACCACTGACCCATTCTACTGCAAAGGGGTATCTGGATCATTTGGTGTGGGACTATTATAGGCAGGGCCGCTCAGAATAGGCTTGTATGTGTTTCCTGGGCATCTGTGCGGGTTTCTCTAGCGCCAATCCCCAGTGGTGGCATGGCCAGGTCCCCCCACTTTCCAAAGAAGGTCCATACATTGCCCCTCTCACTGGCAGTGGCGGACAGTCTGGGAGCCTATACCCAGTGTTTGAGATGGTCCTCTCATTCCTGCTGCAGTTAGCTGAGCCTCTCATACCCAGGGGCGACGCTCTCCCTTTCCAGTGTCCCTGAGTGTCAGCCATGCTGGAGAAATGAATTCCTTAGAAACCAGGGCACTTACCCCACAGTCAAAGCAGTTGAAGGAAGAGTGGAAATAAGGCCGTGTCCCAAGCCCGTACATTTTTATAAACATTTCGGACATAAAGAGTCCTAAGAAAATGAATTCTGCATAGTCTACAGGGGAGAGGGAGGAAACAGAGAGAAGGTTAGTTTTGTTGAGGGGGAAGGGTTTACAAAGTCAGATGGCTCTGACTTTCCTGTTAATCCCAATCCTGTCCCTTGCCTGGCCTGGCGTAAAGGGAGAGAGGACAGTCTTTAGTGTCCTTGGCCAAAGATTATTCAAGGCTACCTTTCCACAAAACTCAGTTTCACCTCTGTTAATGGGAAGGAGTGACAATTGTCCCCCACCCTCCAACCAACCTACCCAGGCCAATCTTAAAAGGAGTGAGATAAACTTCAGCGGGTCTTTATCTTTCAGGTGTTGCTTTGGTTCGATGAGAAGGGTTGGATGTAGATCATTGCCAAGACCTTAGGTTTTGTGTTGAGTGGTGAGTTCCTGGGAGTTTACTACATTTTAAACACTAATGAGCAAACCAACAAATGAAATAACTAACTGCCTAACTAACAATAACTTACTAACTGGCTAACTAACAAAATAACGATGGCCCCCCTATGATGCCAGTGTATCACAATCTAAGAATTATGATTAATTTACTTCTTTCTTTGTTCATCTTCATGCGAGGGTATTTTTTCCATTGATTTTTAGAGAGAGAGGGAGATATCGATGTGAGAGAGACAACTGATAGGCTGCCTCCTGCATGCACTCTAACAGGGGCTGGGGATCGAACCTGCAACCCACGGATGTGCCCTTGACTGGGAATCAAACCCGTGACCCTCTAGTGTGGGCCGATGCTCTAAACACTGAGCCACACGAGCCAGGGCTGATTAATCTACTTTTATATGCCTGAGCTCCAAGGGAAAGTGGAAATCATAACAGTGTCCTATTTGTAAGTCCCTTGTGTTAAGAGATTTAGTTGGAGCATCACAGGGAATCAATCTAAGGCACAGTTTTTCTCCCAACTTGGAAAACCTCTCTGATGTCCCCTGGAACTCCTATCTTGCTGATGTCTAAAAGTCTTGAGCAAGATAAAGCCTTTTTGTTGTTGTGTGAGAAAGCATAACAGTGCAAATGCTTCTGGGAGAGAAAACATGGGTATTTTTTTGCACTGGCAAAGAAATGTCTAATATTAGGTCTTTTTCTGAGAGGGCTTCTTAGCGGGGCCAGAAGGGCATGGGTACTCACCTAATGGACGGAAGGGAAAGGTAACGAGGGCTTCTGAGGGGAAGAGAGCAGACAGAAAGGGAAGACAGAGGACTCACACTTCCAAGAATTTCAATTTGGGTCACATAGCTAATTCCGTTTGAAGGTCAAGGGTGTTTGCTATATCATTCTTTTAAGAGATGATCTGAGCTGACTCAAGGTCCTGTGCACTCATTCCTGTCAAAACATTCCCTTAGTTTCCGGGACTTCAGGGAGCTCCCAGTGTTTGAGGGAAACTCTAGGGTCTCTAGGACCTCCAGGACCAAAATATCAGTGAAGGAAGTCTGTCCATAGCATCTGGTGCATTCCTAGAACCACCAGAAGCAACTCTGGGAGGGCTTAAGTTTCCAAGAAGCTTGTTCCCCAGTTCCCATGGAAACATGATAGTCATTGATGCACAGGACCATGGCATTGGTGGGTCCGGAAGAAACTTCTGGGCCATTGAATCTAATTTCCACCAAGTACAGATGAGGAATTTGAGACTGAGAGAAACTACTACATCGATTTTAAGACACACATTTTTGTTCACATTTTGACATTTCTGAAATTGGGGTGTATCTTAAAATCGGCATGTCCTAGTTTAAACAGCAGCATTGTTTCCTTTCTTAGTGGAACATAAAATAAAAGAGTGTTTTCTAATTGAAGATGTCTTCAATTAATGGATATGTTAATGGCTTGTCCAAGGTCAGAGAGCAAGTTAGAGGCAGGCATTGACACCCAGGCCACCTGTCTGCCATCTTGGAGTCTGAGTTCAAATCTTGACTTCACCATGAACTAGCTGTGTGACCCTGGGAAAACTACTTAACTTCTCTGTGTCTCAGTTTTCTCAGCTGGGGATAATTTAAGAACCTTTATAGACACAAAGGCCCAGGGCAGAAAGTTCCAACCCTCTCTTCCTGAACCAGGACAGACAGATCAAGGTGATTAGTGGGGAGAATATGGGAGATTAAAAATAGACTATCAGAGGAGGTTAAGACTAGAAGTAGAGTCCTCATTTGTAAGAGACTCCAGGGGGATTACAGTAATTACTAAGGTTGGAACTAGGTCAGGGCTCTTGGAAGGAGAACTGGACCCTAGGGTGTGTCCTGGGAAGGTCAGCCAATGTGAATGGAAACAATGAGGGTTACAAGGAGACAGTGACCTGGACCAGGCTCCCAGGCCTCTCTAGGCTGAAGATTCGACTGTCTCCAGTGACTGTCTAGGACAATTCTGAACAATGTCAGAAGGGCAGAGAATCCACAGACCTAAGTCAGATAAGCCAGTAGATGCAGGAACAGGACAGCAATCAGGCAAAATGCTTTTGGTAAGCTCTCACTCAGGGGCTACAAGCCAGAGCCAGGGCATCCACTTGCCTACCTCGCTACCCAGCCATGACTCTTGTTGATTCCTCAAAGCTCTTTACTTTTAAAAATCTTGGTCAAAGCTCTCCCTACATTTCACTGCTTCTCCTCAACCCCACCTGGCCACTTTTGATATTATTTCATGCTAATTCTTAGAATATGGGAATAAGCCCAGAAGGGGAAAGCCTTAGGGGTCCTGGGACCCACTGAGGGAGCAAGATGCTCTCACATTTGTTGGAGGGGATCTTCTAAGGAATGAATTTCAAACACAAGGAAGTCAAACAGAGCAGGAGAGGAAAGGGGAAAAAAGCAGGTTTGATAGAAGAGGGGAGAAGCAAAAGTCAGAAATAAGTGGAGAAAATGGGGCTACTTTTTGTCCCTAAGGCACCCCCATCTCTGAATCACAAATTATTTATTTCAACATTCCCAGAGATGCACCTAGAAATTTCATGTATGTTTTTATCTCTATCTGGCTTTCTTTTGGTCTCTGCCTCTCTCTATTTCCCTTCTAATGCCTTCTGCATCATTACCCCTATGTCTCTCTCTTAGAAAGGGAACACAGAAGTGTTTGGTGGCCTGAATTCCAGCTTCCAGCTCTCAGGCCCAAAGAAGCTGGGGCCTGTCATTGTGGAAGCAGCAACATCAGCATCAATCCCAGTTATAGACATGGCCAAATGAAAAGGCAGATTCAACAAGGACCAAAGAAGGGACACATACTACCAGAGAAAAACTGGAAAAAAGGCGCGAGGAAGGGATCAGAGAGCTGGTGGGGGCAGGGCTGGGTGGTACTCACAGAGGAAGTCGGAGAGCCACTCGGGCTGGTTGTAGTGAACGATAGCAACACACAGCGTGTTGAGGGCTACCAGACTGAGCACAGTCCAGTAGAAGGCCTGAGTTTTGACCATGCGGCGGATGTAGAAACGCACCCTCCTCTCCTTTTTGTGAAAAAAAGTCGAGTTCTCCAACTTGGCACTTTTAATGCTGGCTCGGGCAAAGGGAGACCCTGCCAGGGAAAGGATGAAGAATGTCAGGGTGTTCCTGTGGAGGAAATGAACCAACGCGCGGCCCAGGCATGATTGTGGCCAGGGAATCCATTAGCCTCCCAAGCAAGCCCTCTGGCCCAAGGGAACCATCATGACCCAAGGGCTTAGCTTTCCAGAGATGAAGCTTAAAAGGAGATGTCCCTGCAAATAATGGTATTGGAAATAACCAATGTGTCAATGGAGAGGCTGACGGCTCTCATTGCCAGAGCCAACCTTCTGTGTCTCCCCGTCTTGGCGACATCTGATGACTCTGGGGGTCATGCTGTGGGGCAGGATGAGGCAGGAGCCTCTGCTCAGGATCCTCCAGTGCAGGAGTAGAAAAAAGAGCAACATGGAGCATGCTTGGAAAGCCTCCAGGAAGAGGCACGAATAGGACCCTAGTTTTCCATGGACACTTCACTTTAGAAATGATCACTGAGTAATGAATCAGCTCTGCTTGCACATGTTTTTGTTCTTAAGCATTTAGGAAGCACCTACTATGTGTCAGGCTGTGCTCCAGTGCTCAGAATACTCTAGTTAGCAGACAGAGTTTTACCTTTCTGGGACTGATGCTCCAGTGGGGGAGATAGATAGCAAACATAATATAATAAAATAGCTAATAGAGTAATAGAAGGTGAAAAGTCCTTTGGAAAAAATAAAAAGTAGAGCAGAATAAGGGGACTGGGAGCTTCAGAAGGGACCACAGAGCAGGCTTCAGTATTAAATCAAGTGGTCAAGGTAAAGGTATTAATCTAAGTCACGTTAGTATCTTAGGCTGAGTAAACAGCAAGACAGGAATGTATCTGCCTGAAATATTTGGGAAACAGCATAAGGAGGCGAGTATGGCCAGGGTGGAGTGGCTGAGAAGAGAAAGAGGTGGTGAGGACAGGTAGGTAGGTGACAAGGCAGGTTGTGAAGGGCCTTGTGTGCTGAGGGAGTAACTGGTTTTGTTCTGAGGTTCTGCCCTGACCCAGGCACTCACAGGCGCCCTCCCGCTGCTGTGAGAGGAACAGATTGTAGAGGGCATGGGCAGGAGTTGTGGGACCAGGGAGGAGGCTTCTGCACTAGTCCAGGCAAATGATGATGGGGGTTGGACTCTGTCATGGCTAAGAAGAATGAAGAGCAGGCAGATTTGGGATATATTATTTCAGGTAAATGTCAACATTTGCTGATGGATCAGTGTGGGTGTGAGAGAGAGGGAGGAGCCCAGGTTACCTTGAGTGCCAAAAGGGATAGAGCTACCATCCACTGAGGGGCAGGTTTGGTGGGAAGGTCAGAGGTCAGGTTTGGATGTTTATTTTATCTTTTAAAATACCGCTTGAAAACCTTCAATTGCACCCACCCATTTGTTTATTTACTGTTCTTCATTGGTTCATTCATTATTTCATTTAGTCATCAGTTTTTTCATTCATTAGTGCACTCATTTATTCATTCCTTAGTTCATTAATCAGTACATTTATTTATTCATTTATTAGTGTGCACCTCTGCTCATTCATTCATCCATCTGTTCATTTGTTCATCATTCATTCATTCATCTATCCGTCCATTATTCATTTGTTCATCCACACACTCCTTCATTCCTTCATTTGTCCATTCACCTGTCCATCCATCTAGCATGTTCATCAATCCCATCCCACAGCCAGGCATGCCCCAGGCAAACATCTTGTAGGGCTCCACTTTCTATTAGCAAAATTCTAAACAGAGGTTGCGAGTTGGCACTCCAGGGACCATACTGGTTTATCCTGAGTTTGTAAAAGTTGAAATTATTGGTCCACATTTAAAACCTCGGAGAGTCTCCCATAAAAGTATAGATTTCAGCTTCTCATGACAGAAAATAGCTGACTTTTATTGGACATTTAGTAGGCACCAGGCATGGGGTGGGGGAGGGGAATGACACATTTGACATGAACCTGCTTGCTCCTCATTGCAACTGTAGGAAGTAGGGACTAACATTAGCCCATTTTACAGCCAAGGAAACAGAGGCTGAGAGGGGTCTGGTGATTGTTAAGAAGTACGGAGTCAGTTCAGAGCCTGTGTTCTAGGCACTCACTCCTGGAACATATGACCATGGGGAGGGGCCACACTCCCACCTGGCAGCAACTGGTCAGGGCCGGGGCTGAACTCTCCCCTCATGTCCATTATTTGTTTGACTTCATAGGACTTGAGAACCCAGGGAAGCTCCACATGGCTCTTCCCAGTTGGGGTATTTCTGGACCCACAGGCATCCATCCACAGGGCATGGCAAAGGGAAATGAGATTCCTAAAGGTCTCAGGGGTCAGGGAGGGATATTCACAGGGAGAGAGTGATCTTACAGTGAACAGGGCCTTCCTGACCTCCACTCCTGTTGGAGTCATACTGAAAACCTGGCTCCAGCTCTCTCTCTCTCTCAACTTCTCTCTCTGGAGCACATGCAAGCCTTTCTCCCTTTCCTTCCCCCAGGCAGGTTTTCTTTGCCTTTCTTTCTCCTAAGCTCCAAAGGCCCATCGTTTGCCTCTGTAACTTGTTTCCTGAGTCCATTTCTTCTACAGCTCACTTCTTCTACCTCTGTGGCTCTCTAAATATACTTTTGCTTGTGATTTGAAAAAGCACACAAAAAACCCTGTCCCCATCACCAAGGTGAGTGACCTTGGGCGAGTCACCCTGCATCCTGGGACTCTAGTGCCTCCATCTGTAAATCAGGCACAACCACACTTCCCACCTCACAGGGCTGTTGGGAGGAATCAGTGGGTTAATACACCCTAGCATGATGTTGGCGTAAAATGGTTATTAGGCCTAAAGTCTCCTACTGAACCCCAAGAGCTGAAATCAAGACAGTCCACATGCCAATTCATGGAGGAAGTCTTTCCTGATCACCAGGCCTGGAGATATATCCCACAACAGGCATACCACTCATCAGGAAGGGAGAGGGCAGTGACTATGAACTGAATACCTACTATGTGCCAGGTCCCCATACTAGCTGTGTTCTGTCACCTATATTTATTCCATTTTATATTCACTTTGACCCATGCTCTGTTTTTCTATACATTCTTGTCTCTACTTTTTCTCTGTGGTCTGGAACTATAATTGTAAGAAATCCTTAGGTTTTAAAAATAATTTTAATAAGATATTTTATGAAACCCAATATTTCCAAAATATTATCATTTCAATATGGAATCAACATAGAAATATATTAAAGAGAGATTTTACACTTTTTCTTTTGGGTGTTAAGTTTTCCAAATCTGGTATGTTATTCTGAAACACATCTCAGTTCAGACAAGTCACATTCGAAGGGTCAAGAACCAGAGGAGGCTAGTACCAGTCTGGAAAGTTCCATGGTGAGGGCAGCAGGATGTCACTATCAAGGCTTAATCGGGGGATTTGGGGCAATTTAGATGCCTTTAAAATTCTCTGTAAACGGAAATAGGTGCTGCCTAAGTTGTGGGTTGAACTGTGTTCCTCAAAGAGATGTGTTGAAGTCTTAACCCCTGGGACCTGTCAATGTGACCTTATTTGGAAATAGGGTCTTTGCAGATTAAGGTCAGACTCGATTAGAGTGGGCTCTAAATCTAATGACTAGTGTCCTTATAAGAGAAGAAGAGACACAGAGACTCACAGGGAAAGACCATGTACCAAAAGAGGCAGAGATTGGAGTGACATATGTACAAACCAAAGATTGCCAAGAATTACTGACAACACCAGAAGCTAAGAGAAAAGCATGGGACAGATTCTCCCCTGGAGCCTTCAGAGCCAGCACAGCCCTGCCAACACCTTGACTTCAGTTTGGACTTCAGCCTCCAGAACTGTGAGAGAATAAATTTCTGTTGTTTTAAGCTTCCCAGTTTATGGTACGTGGTGCCCGCAGCCCCAGGAAACGAATTCAGCCCACATGGAACTTATATCATTAAAGTCGGATTTTTCTAGAGACATGTTGCTGTGATGGCAGCTTCTATTCAGCTCAACTTTTCCTATAAATGACTCAAGCTCTGTAAATTCATCAACTGTAAATGAGGCCACTTTACAATGTGTTTATCAATGTGTTTACCAGCAAAGAAACAGGATTTTTGGTGGGTTTGCTGGTTAGCAAACGTGGTCCCAGGAGACCAAGTCACTGGCCCTTTTGAATCCATTTAGAAAGCTGAAGGTCACCTGCTTTCTTAATAGGTGCCGCAGGACACCATCAGGTTTTATTCAGTCTGACAGCTTCGTGTTTCAGTTTCTCCGTGTCCTTTTAGACACGTTTATCAAATGCCAGCCTGAAAGCTGGGTTCTCCAAGTAGCGAGTTTCGTATGTTGGCACGCGTTCGAGAGCAGGGTCCCCCACAGACAAACCCTCTGTGACTGTCTCCAGTGGGTTCCTGGATCGCCCCCTGCTGTGAGCTGACCTGTGTCCCACCAAACCATGTGTTGAAGTCCTAACCCCCAGGACCTCACGATGTGATGTATTTGTAGGCGAGGCCTTTAAAGAGGCAATTGAATTAAAATGAGGTCATAAGGTTGGGCTCTAATCCAGTGTGACTGGTGTCCCTATACTATGGGAAGAGATTAGGACACAGGCACACAGAGGGAAGATGATGTAAAGACACGGGGAGAAAAGGACCATCCTTACGCCAAGAAGAAACCAACCCTGCTGATGCCTTGGTCTCAAACCTCCAGCTTCCAAAACGGTGAGAAAATAAGTTTCTGTTGTTTAAACCACCCAGCCTGTGTTTTTTTTCTTATGGCAGCCCTAGAGAACTAATAAAATCTCCCCATTCCATGTAAAGCCGAGTGTAGAAATGCCTCCTTCAGAAGCTTTCTTTGCTTTTCCACCAAACAGATTCCTCCCCGCCCTGTAGAGCCATGAGATTCCTTATAATTAATTAGTCCCCATTGCTTTTATGTAACTTTAAGCTTACCTAAATACTTTTCTGATTTCAAAAGTAACACATGCCACTAATTCATACATTCCAGAAAAATATCACATAAAACATGAGAATCCCTCACAATCCTCCAATTTCCACATCTTTTAAGTACATCTGACTCTTGTGGACAAGAAGGGCACTGTAGTAAATCTAACCAAAAGCAACCTCATGGGGGATCTGATCATAAATTCCCACCAGGGCAGATCATAGAAGGTAGTCATACCCCAGGCATATAGTTTTAGTAAAAGGTTTATCTTGTCTTAAGCAAGCCCTGTCCATTGTTTCTGTGCATCTAGGTTAACAGACCTTTGAAATACATCTTTCTCAGATCCCTAAGAGGCATAACCACCCTCATAATCTTGTTAACTATCCTGGAATCCAATCCCCACCTTGTTTTCTATCACTTTCATGTAATCTTCCTTAATTTCCCTCCTGAATCTCAGATGTATAAAAGAAGCTGCAAACTGCCATTCTCCAGAGCATTTGAGGTCTTGCTTCATGGCAATGTCATCAATTTGTCTCTAATAAACTCTTATAAAATTCTCTAGCTTTGGACATTTCTTACATCAATACACTCCTTAATATTGTCTTAAAATGGGATTGTACATTTTACATAATGTCATGTAACTTGCTTTTTACACTGGTAAATATATTTCAAACATCTTTCCATGCCAGTAGAAAGAACTCCATTCTTTTCCCTGGCTGCATAGTATTCCTCTGTATGTAGATACTATAACATCTTTAACTATCTTCCCAATTTTGGCCACATGCGTTGTTTCTGGTTTTTACTTTTTTGAATGCCAGAAACAATGCCGTGGAGAAGAAGCTGTACATAGGTCCTTTGCATACGTGGAGAAATGTTTTGAAGTGGAAATGCTAGATCAAAGAACATAAACATCTAGAATTAATTAATTTCAAATTATTTAAATAATGCCAAACCATACACTGCAAATTATACTCCTGCCAATGGCATACAACAATGTCCATCTGCTCACATCCTTGCTGACATCAGGTAGTAGCATTTTTCATCTGTTTTCAAATGACTGATGAAAAAAACCATTTTCCTATTAATTAAAAGCAGGTATCTAGTCTTATTAATAGAGGAGGTCCTGACTTGGGGAACCTCAATTTTTTTTCAGTGCCTGGCATTTAATAAATGAACAAAAAAGGTTATCTATCAAAATATAACAAACAGGTTAAAAAAATGGAGGCAACCTAATTGGGAAAACATACAGAACAGACAGACCTGACTGATCAAATGCAAGGAGCACTGATGGAGCACCATAATCCTTGAACTTGCTGGAAGGAACGAGACAGATGTGGGAATATAACTAGTTCATCATTAAGGGAAAGAGTGTTCCGGCTAGGGATTAAAAATGCAAATGAAAACTTTAAGGTATCATTACAAACCGGCTTCACTGGGAAAGGAAAGGAAACGGGGTGGGGAATCTGTGAATGCATGGGTGCTTGGCAGGTTTAGAAATGGGTTCAGTGTTTCTGAAACTCAGAAGCGCTCTGTGTATAATGAGTTGAAAAGCTGTTAATATCTTTGATCCTGTAATTATCCCCAAGGAAACACGCCCCAAGGGTGGGGGAGTAATTGTACATAAGTGTTCGCGGCGGTGCTCCTCGGAAGGGCAGGCACAGGAAGCGGCCCCAACACCATGCCACAGAGCCACAGCGAAGCGGCTCTAGTGCCGCCACCCTTATGGGTTCGAGACTGCAATGGAAATTCTGTCGAAACTCAGTGGTAAGGTGAACAACGAGGGTCGAGTGGAAAAAGCAGAGTATAAAATAGTTGGTGCGAGTGGATTAGAAACATATGCATATATGAAATTCTCTCCTTCCTTTCCTTCTTCACGCCCCCCTCCCTCTCCCATCCTTTCTTCCCCTTGTTCCAGCCACACAGTTCCCCCACCAGCCCAAATGCTTTCTTCCTTCTGAGTCCTGTGTTATCTCCTCTGCCTGGATGCTCTGCCACCACCTCGTTCACCCTTGGAATTTTTAAAACCCATTTCAAAAACTAAGATATTCTCTTTGGAGAAGGTCAAAAGCAACACAGTCTCAATGAAGAGGGGTAAGCAGGAAAAGGGTAAGTGTCCTCTCCCACTTCAAACTCTGCCCTTCGCCATAACCAACGGCAACGGTCTAAGCACAGCCCTCTACATGCTTCTCTCTGCTTTCACTGCCCTGGCAAACTCCTATCCAGCCTTTAGTTCTCAGCTTTAATGTCACCTCCTCCAAGAAGGCTTCCCTGATCACATTTACTCTCCCAAGGCAGGCCAAGCCCAGGGTGTCTCCTCTGCAGTGCCATTATTATGACAGGTTTATTTGTGTAATGATCTGTTTAATATCTATTTCTTGCACCAAATGGCAAGCTCCACGTGGGAGGGATATGGTCTCTGTCTTGTTCACAACTGGGCACCTAACAAGAGCAGCCCCTTAATGAGTCCTAATGAATAATATTATCATCATGAATAATGAATGCATAATAATATTATCATGAATAATGAATGAATAATGTCAGGCAACGTTATTGGGAGCTTATATTTGCCAGGTGCTGTTCTAAACGCTTACTGTGGATCATTTAGTCTCATCCTCCCAGCAATATTAGAAGATAGGCACCGCTATTATTCCCATCATCACATTGTCCTTCAGGACACATAGGTGCAAAGGGGCAGAGTTGAGACCCAAACCCAAGCAACCCGGTGCCCAAGCTCTCAGCTCCCACCTCCCAGGCGATCAGCGGTAAACAGGAGCGACTCACCCACAGAGGCAATGTCGGCTAGCTGATCCTCAGCCTCCTCGGGGTTGAGCAGGTCTGTCTTGCTCTTCTTTATGGTGGCTCTCCGCAGAGCTCCAACAATGGAAACATGGCAAGAGAAAAAGACGTGACCCTTTTTGCGATAGCAATGATATCAACCGAGTGTGTCCTCGGGACCAGGAGCTCTGCCAGGGACATTCTAGGTGTCATGGGATTTAACCCTTGTGGCAATCCAGTTTGGTGGAAGTAACAGTATGCCCATTTTACAGATGTGCAGACTGGGGCTCAGGGAGGCCACATCACTTTGCTCAAGGGGTAAAGGTGAGAATCAAGTCTGGTTCAGTCTAAGTCTGGGATCTCAGCCACTGTATCCCCTCTGGGAGCCCCAGGACTGGATATATAGTGACTCCTATGAAGACAGTCCACCCCTTGACTTTAGCGTACTTGCTAGGCAGGCTGGGACTGTGGCCACCCTCACTCAGTATTTAGTCTCTACTCCCCCAAGAGCTCTCCAGGGCACAATGAGTTGAGGCATTAATTTCCAATGAAGTGACTCAGACACCCCCAAGGGTAATCTCTTCCCTTTCTCACAAATAGTAAAATGCAGTTTGTAACCTACGGGATGGAGTCCCAGCTCCTTTACTTCCTTCTTACTCCTGGTATTTTCAATCAAAACTTGTTCCATTAGCTGAATTTCTAACATACAAGATTAGTGTCCTTAACAGTAAGCTGGATTCTTGATGAAATTATTATTATTATTATTATTTTAATTTAACAAAAACAGAGTGCTGATCTTGAGCTGGGCACTGTTCTAGGCATTCTATTTGAAGGAATTAATGTAACCCTCATATTATGGTCATGCCCATTGTGCAGATGAGAAAAAAGCAGAAGTTGGGCTCATGGTTAAGGCAGAAAGGGTGGGCGAGAAGATGCAAACTCTGCTGAGATCCTGAAATCCCACAAGGAAGGAGATTTCTGCCATTCCTCGTATCTTCCTGACCCTGACTCAGTCTCCTGTTTGTTCCTGACATTACTTGGACCCTGGACATCCATTCCCTGGAGGCCCCTTAGGACTAAGTAGCCTATTCCCCCATCTCCCTGGGACCCACCCAGAGCCAGGTTCAGGACAGTTACCATCAAAGGGATGCCTCTGCTCCCCGTCAGTTTCATCCTCGGCGAGGATCACCTCTTCTGAGGAGGAAGAGCACATAGTTAAGCTCTAGTGTCCGGAGGACTCTCCTGGGGATGGGTTCCCTTGGACCAGAAAGGAGAAGGGTCTGCCCGACCACCTCCCTTTGCTGATGGCAACAGTTCAATCAGCCAGAGATGTGCTGCTCAGTTACTTCTGACTCACAGCCTCACTTCAGCAGAAATAGTAATAGCCAAATGATCCCCACTTCCCTCAAAATAAAAACCAACCTTACCACAGTTTATAGGGCTTTGCCTGACCCAGCCCTGTCACCTCCCTGCTTTCCTCTCCTGCCATTCTCCCTTTCACTTTGCTCCAGCCACACTGGCTTCCTTGTTATGACTCAACTCTGCTCAAAGCTCAGGGCCTTTGCACTTGCTGTTCCCTCTGCCTGGAACACCCCTCCTCTCGACATCCACATGCTTCCTTCTCACTTTCTTTAGGTCTCTGCTCAGATGTCACCTCCTCAGAGAGACCCTCTCTGGTAACCCCGCCTCCTCTGACCATTTTCTGCTTCCTACCCTGCTGTAGTTTTCTTCTTAGCATTTGGCAACACCCAACATTATATGTCTTTGTTTATTTTCTGTCTCCCTCACTGAATATAGGAGCTCTGTGGGCAGGGATTTGGTCTGTTTTGTTCACTGCAATATCCTTAATGCTTAGACTAGTGCCTGGCACACAGTGGGTGCCACTAAGTGTTTTTTGAATGGCTGAGCCAATAAACATGTGCTCATTGTGTGTCAGGCACTGCTCCTCCTAAGTGACTTAGCCTGGATTATGTCACTGAATTCCCAATCAGCCTGATGAGGTGGGTAGTATCATTATCTTTGTTTAATAGCTGAGGAAATTGAGGTACAGGGAGGTGGCAGAGCTGGGATGTAAACCAAAGTCTGGCTGTAGAGCTTGCAACCATTATGTGATGTCCTGCCCTGGCTTTTCCAGGAAGTTTTACTATCTTATTCTGGATTCTTGTTACTAAAAGTTGGGACTACCAGTTCAGCTCTCTTTCTCCTCCCATCACAACCCTTCCCTCGTCCAACTCCAAACTGCACGTCCAACTCTGTGCTCTGGGGCCTGGGCGCCAACGCTTGGGCCCCAGGATAAAAGGGCCTCACCTGCTTTCGAGATCCACTCCATGTACCCATTGAGCTCTCGTTCAATCTGTTGCTGCCTCCTCAGCTTCAGAAAAGCCCGCCGGTTCTCCACCCGCTCCCTCTCTTTGGCAAACTCCCTGCAGAGGCACAAAAAGCACAAAAAAGCCAGGGTTGGCTGTTTTAGAAATTTTAGGGAGCGTGTGCACATGTGTGTGTATTGGGGGGTTCAGAAGTTTCTGGAGGGCAGAGGATTTCGAAAAGTGGAATCAGGTCTTCTGGGGAAAACCAGGATATTCTAGGAGTGGGTACCTGCCAGAATCCCACATTTCCCAGCAATTGCGCCCAGCTGGAGAAAAAAGCAAAACCATAAACCATGCCATGCCAGCCACTGCCGGCTGCGCACTCCATTCTCATTCTCTGTGCTCCTGGCTAAGGAATATTTTCAGCTCTGTTTTAAGTTAGGCCAATGAGACCTGAGCTGATGGTTTCTCCAGCAACCTCGCTTCCCAGATATAGGCCCCATTCCTTCCTGTTTCCCTCCTTCATCTTCCTGTTTGGAACTTGGGATGAACATCTTGTGAGTGTGAGGCAGCCATAAAATTGAAAGTCTCTGATAAAGATGTCAGAGTAGAAACCCAGAAGGAACTGGAGCCACCAAGCCAGTCCCTGAACTTCTTATTGGTAAGAAAAAGGAAACTCATTTATGATTAAGCCAAAAAAAATCAATCCTGGGGCTAGGAAACAATATGTATCATGAAAATGCATGTTTGGCTGTAGGCTATAATTTTATATTTGGAAAACAGAGGAAGGAGAAACCCAACCTATTGGTTTTTTTAAATGTAAATCACAGAAAGTAAAGTTCTATAGAATTTTCTTGTGTGGTGGGTTGTGGGTCTGAAAAATTTGGGAAAACCTTCTGAATGGGAGGTCAGCACTGGAAAGAAGCTCCCCTTTCCCTGGGAAGAGGCAGCTCAATGCCAGGGACACGATGTGATGAGTCAAGTCCGGGCTCGATTTCAGGCCCCATGAGTCCCTTTCCTGGGTTCCCCCAGCGATGCACAACCGACCCACCTGTACATGGCCTGCTAAAGCTGTCTGGCTAACCCAAGGCAAGGGAAGAAGACGACAAGGGAGAGTGGGATGGGGGAGCAGCAATGACTTACCCTGACAGCACACCCAGCACGAGGTTCAGCATAAAAAAGGAGCCGATGATGATGAGGGGGATGAAGTACAACCAGTTCCAAGTGTTCCCTGAGGCATCGTTGCTCTGTGGGAGGGAAGGAGGGAAGGCAGGTGAACACTGAGTGGGATCAGGTCTGACCAGGCAGGTGTGGGTAGGGGGAGTCCTGGTTCTCTGGCAGCCCAGAGAGGTAAATGGAGCACAGGATCCATCGGTGGGGGGAACCCCAGAGGTACCACTGGAAGGACAAAGCTCCCTCCTAACCGTGTAGTCCACATAGGACCTGGAAACCAGCATGACACTCAGGAGCCTCAAAAAGAAGGAAAAATGAAACTGGTCGAAATGAAGAAATGAACCCCTGGTTCCTTCCTTTGTTCCTGACACAGTCACTCTCCCCTTAGAACAAGTGCACGACGGCAGGGCCTGACAGCCAGTTTAAATCACCAAGTCAGACAGCAGGGTCGTGAGCCTTCTCCTCGAGGGTTCCCCTCCTGTATTTTCTGCTTCCTCAATGCCAACCGCAAAAAATTCCTGGAAGCGCCCAGCTCAATTTTCAAGGAGGGAGGAGTCCACAAATAGAACATTCTTCTCTGATATGGAGAAGAGAACACTGGCAAGAAGGAAGAAAGAGGAGTGGAAGAAAATCAAGGAGAGAGAGAGAGAGGGAGGGGGGGAGAGAGAGAGAGAGAGAGAGAGAGAGAAATCCAGCACTTATAGAGTACTTACTGTGTAGTAGCTCATTTAATCATTTAATCCTCATGATACCTCTGTATTATCATCATGCCCATTTTGCAACTGAGGAAAATGAAGCCCAGAAAGACGAAATCGCCAGCCCAAGGTCACAGAGCTAGACAGTGAATGAGGGATCTGAACCAGGCGGCCAGGCCCCAGAACCTGTGGACTTAACCTCTGTGCTGGGGAAGCCTCAGCTTCAGCAGCCAGAGGAGGGGGAGCCTGCTGGTGGGTCACCAGCTCTGCAGCGTCTGCAGAATGTGGGGCTCCCACAGTGGCTTTAAAAGCTCACCTTCAAAAACACATTCAGTGTTGCTGTTGCCCAGCAGAAAGGCTAACATGAGAAACACTAAGTCGTTAACATCTCTGGCTGCAAATAATTACCACCTGGAGAACCTCCAAGTAATACGGATGGCCAGGCCCCAACCCAGAGAATTTGATAACTAGTCTCTGGTGGGTCCTACATCTACACTTAAAAAATCAACTTTACTGAGGTATAATTTAAAGTGTACACTTCAGTGCGTTCTGACAAACCTTTACAACATGTAGCCACATATCCATCACCACAAAGCATCCCTCATGCCCCTTGCAGCCAGTCTCCACCTCCAGACCTAGGCGCTGACTACTTTGCTTTCTGTCTGTGTATATTAGTTTTGCTTCCTCTAGAGTTTCATATGAATGGCATCACACTGTGCAAATCCTCGTGCTGGCTGCTTCCACTCAGCATAATGCTTTCAAGTGCGAATCAGTAGCTTGTTCCTATTGCATTGCATGGATGGGCTGCCACCTGCTTATCCAGTCTCATGATGGACATCGGTTGTTTCCACTTTGGGACTGTCATGCATCTCTGTCTAATCTTCTTAAGTATTCTGATGTGCTGCCAGGGCTGAACTGAGAACCACTGATACACAGGGAAGAACTTTCCATAGGGAGAAAATGACTGTTCCCTCTCTTTCCTGGAGTAAATGTCTTTCTGCAGAAGTGTCAATAGGCACTTTATATGTGGAATCCTATTTCAAAGAGCTGCTGTGTAAAGGAGGCAAGCTTATAGAAGGGGCAACATTTCTACAGGGTGCCCAGACCCTCCCCAATCTGTCTTGGGTTCAATTTGGGGAATTGTCAGATTGGGGAGTTCGCTCTTACAGAGAGATGCACCTGTGTATATTCACTCTAGTAGCTGCCTTGTGAGGCTGCTGCCAGCCCAGCAGCACTACATTTCCCTGTGAATAACTAGATGTATATTAAGTTTCTGTAAATTAAAAAAAAGAGAAAGACTGACATTGCCAGGTTGTTACCGAATCATCTCCCAAAATTCAGGTTCATGTACCAGATGTACTAGGAGGCCAAAATGTAGAGACGCTGGTGCTGGGCAACAGAGAAAGGTTTATTCGATTTAGCCAAAGAGAGAGGACTGGAGAGCAAGACCTCTCAAATTCACCCCCCAAAAGCAAAAGTAGGCAGTTTTTATGCAGCTAGGGGAGGGGAAGTTCCAGGGACCTGAGAGAAGTCTGTGTTTCTTTAGTCATTGATAAGGCTTTTGCATATTAGATTCCTGGGCATCAGCAGCTGGTTGCAACTTGCTCAAAAGCATTTACTCCTTCTGCAAAACAAACTTATAAATTCTCCTTTGGCCCTGGATTGATCTTCTGCTTGACAAAGAAACAGTACATCAGCCACACAAAATTGCATTGTGAGAACAAGGGTGCTGCACTGAAGAACCGAGATTCTGTAAAATATCTCATAATTCTGCATGAGCGATGTTACCTTTAAAGCAGAAACTAGACATCTTGTGATTATCGCCATTGTTTTAGCTCTCATTGTTTTGTGCTCACCTACTTATATTTTTCTATTTTCTCAGGCAAAGAGTACTTTCAAACATTTCTCCTGAAACCTGCTTTATAGGCAGCCCTTCTAAACATGACTAACATGCTTTCGTAGTCTTTGACTACAAGCTATGTGACAACTGAAGCAATCGAAACATTTAGTTAAAGCCTATACCTATATTCTAATCAAGAATTTAATTATTTAATTCTAGCTGCCAAAAATACTAGGGGCATTAAAATTGCAAGGGGCTGGGCTACAAATCCCCCCTTTTTGTTATAAATCCTTCAATCTTGATAGAAGGGATAGAAGTGTTCACTGGGTCTGCTGTGTGGTATAGTTACCTCGAAGTTTGGTGGGAGAGAGATGATATTTTCTGTCTTATGTAGGAAAAGAGGCACTATAAAGTTTCCTAGAAGACTTCAGTCCAGTCGTCATAATATCTGTTTTCTTGTCATCTTTGCAAACAGTTCTTCAGGAAAACAAGGTTGCTTAGGCCCAGTCCAAAGGCCATTTGCCACCTTTAACATTCCAAGGGCTGAGGACTACGACCTGCAAGGCACTTCCTCTGGCTTGGCAGCTCCGGCTCCACTTTAAAGTGGCTCCATTCATAGTACTGTTCACATTTTCCGTCTTTTGATTAAGATCTTTTCTTGAAAGCATTGCCGATCAATCATCAGAGAGCAGTGTGATCAGTAATTAAAAGCATCATTGGTCCTCTATTGTCAGGTGGGTCTGTGGCAGACCCAGAACCCTCACAGGCTGCTGGTGGGGGGGTAACACGGTGGGTGAGTTTCCTGTGGCTGCTAACAGAGAACCACAAACTGGGCAGCATAAAACAATAGACATTTATTGCCTCACAGTGCTGGAGGCCAGAAGCCCAAGCTCAAGGTGTTGGCAGGGTTGGTTCCTTCCGGGCGTGAGGGAGAATCTGCCAGGCCTCTCCCCTGGTACCTGGGGGTTTGCTGACAATCGGCGTCCTTTGGCTTGTAGAGGCATCACTGTGATCTCTGCCTTCATTTTCACATGATGTTCTCCCCATGTGCATGTCTGTGTCCCAATTTCCCCATTTTATAAGGACACCAGTTATACTGGATTAGAACTCACCCTAAGGACCTAACATAACTAATTACTTCAGCAATGACCCCATTTTCAAATAAGGTCATATTCTGATGCACTGGGGCATTAGGGCTTCAACATATGAATTTTTTTTTGTGGGGGACACAATTCAACCCATAATTCATAGTACAACCATTCTAAAAAATGAGTTGGGAATTTCTACTGAAATTAATCCTGTTCACCACCACCTGGAAATTCCACTCCTGGGGGTGTGAACCCGCACATGCCAAAGGCACGAGTGATCCTCAGGTCGCCCTGAACTGGGGACCATCTGAATTATCAACAGGAGAGAGGAGAAGTGGAATATTTGCAGCAACTGCCTGCCACCCATCACGTGAAACTGCAGAGTTGCCAAGCACAGGAAACCAGACAGAAAAGAGGATATATGTAAGATTCCACTTCTGCGAAATATAAAAGTAGGCAAACTAGTTGACAATGCTTGAGGCCCAAATGAGGCACCTTTTGGGGAAGGTATCAGCTGGGGTGGGGGCAGGAAGGGGGCTTCTGAGTCTGAGAAGGTGCTGTTTCCTGGTCTGGACGCTGGTCACACAGGTGGGCCCAGTTTGTGAAAATCCATCAATCTCCTCACTTATTATCTGTGGGGTTTCCTGAATGTTTATTTTACTTCAAGTCTAGCCCAAATGATTCACTTCAATGCTCTGGGTCCAACAACTGATGGAGAAGAAGTTGGCAGAAGGTTGGGTACCATTTTTAAGTAGGAGGTGGGCTTTCGTTGGGGTTTGCTCAGAAGCAAACTGGGAAATATATTTCCAAATGGAAAGACTGGAGCTGCTATGGCCATTCTGTGATAGCAGAGAATGTGGGGGACACAGCCTCCCCTTCTGTGTCTCATCTATTTGGGCAGTTCAGGGTGGGCTGTGCATGAGTCTGGGTGCAGGGAGGAGGAAGGGGTTGGAAAACTTGCTCACTTTTCAAAATCATTAATAATACTGTGAAGAATCGTCTTGTCTTTCTTCCAAAAGCTTAAGAGAGTTCCATGGCCTGAAATGCTATTCCCCATTAGTGTCATCACTACATATTTCCAATGTGGCTGGATGGCCCTTCCTGGTCTTCCTGTGGTTGGCTGAGGGCCACATAATAAGTGCTGGCCAATGAGGAGTGAGTGGGAACACCTGTGTCACTTTTGGACCAGAACATTGATCTGTTAGTGTGGGACCCTTCAGGGCTCTCTTTCCTTTTAGGACAACATATGCCAATGTTCTATGTGGTGGCTGCTCCAATCATCAGCTAGGTCCCAAGTGACTACATTAAGCATAGCTCCCTTTTCCTCCACTGCCAACTTGTGCTGGACAGAGCACATGAGCAAGAAAAGACATTTGTTATTAGAACCAGAGACTCTGGGTGATGTTTGTTACTGCAGCATAACCTAGCTTTCCTGACTGATACACCCTGGC